GCATCCAGGTAGGAAGCAAGCCGCAATTTCGAGAACTTGAAGATCTCAAAAAGCGTTGGGAATGCACTGGAAGATCTCTAGACTCATCCGCGGCTCTTTGAAATGTCATCCGGTAACACCATCCCGAATCGGAGAGTTAGGTGGTCTTTTTGAGTTAGGCTCGAGCCGACGCAGATGCCAAGTCCTAAGTCAAAGCATAAATGCTTTCCGTTTGGGCCGATGACAGCTTGGCTAACGGGGAGCCGAAGCTTGTTTTCAAGAGACCACATTGGAGTTTGATCCATGTGTGGGTAGATGGAGCAGACTCGAAACACACAACTCAAGCCCCTCATCCCTGTCACTGTTTAGTAAAGCATACCATTTCAATGCGACTCACTGATAGACGACAAGTAAGTGTATCATCTGCAACTCTGCAGCGTTTCCTCGTGTAGTCATTTATACAGAAAGTCTGCCTTGCGTCATTCCGGGTAGAGGCAACATTCGGTTCCAACCCGGGATTGTCGTACAATGCCCATCATACACCATAAGTCATGTTACCAAGCCACAGTAAGGCCAGGAAGCCTACAAACTTCAGTCGTAAGGCGCTGTTTGACGCAACGGTGCCTTTCGTTCTTCCTCTCTCTGTCGCCTCTTCCATGGCTGCCGCCGAACGCCATGGAACAGGACTTGTCTTACCGTCCTTAACCGGTAAGGTGCGACCCAACGAGACTTCTCTGACCTGCTCCCCTTCCTCTACTCCCGTCAAACCCTTAACAATGCGGAGAGTGGCACGCTGGCAATTGTTGCATGCCCAAAGGAAGACAATAGCAATGATTGTTACTTCAGCTGCTCTCGGTAGGCGGCCTCCGCTTCCAATCCTCAAAACCCCAGCTCCGTCACTCGCAAGCCATATGTGATGGTGCAAAATGTAGGCTTCAAGCGATATTCTTCCAAGAGCTGCCGCAGGCGGGATTTGAAGGTCTCGCAACTTCCGTAAAGAGTTTCTCGTAATTATGGCCGACAGCACAAACCAGGGGCTCGTGTACGGATGGTAGGTGTCGTAAGACTGGTTATTGTGGTATACCTGGGCGATGAACGCAAGGATGATGAAAACAATGAGATACGCAATGGCGAAAATGAGCATTATCGGCTTCACCGGAATCGCGTCTTGTTCTGGATATGTGATTTCCAACAACCCGCGGTCAAGTGCGTTGTTGATCTTTTCAAAGAGAGCTTCGGCGTTGAGGCCATGCTGGCGACGCCTGAGAACCGAGACTCGGTGCGTCGCAGCCGCCGTAAGTATACCAAAGTAAGGGATAAAGCGGTCCATGGCGAAGTGGGCGCGCAGGGGATTTACGTCCCAGTAAATCCCACAAGCCCGTTTGAGAATTGACAGAAAACGCTCAGGTGTACGGGTGCTTTGTACCAAGTACGAAGTCCAGGCAGCAAACACAACAACCTTTACAAAGAATGCAACAGGATTGCTGTTGAACTTCTTAAAGCAAGCCAGCGTTGCATAGATGACTGCAAACCAAAACGTCAATAGTGGCACAGTGTAAATGATCCATTCGCTTGATACCATGAACGCGATCAAGCAGGTCAGCAGATTCAGCCGACCTAACACATATGCGACCCTGCGTAACGAAAAGTCTTCGGTGCGGAGGAAGTACATCGTGTGACCGTAGCTGAACAAAAAGATGAATGTCGCCATGAGGAACTTGTGTACCTTATACATCGCCAAGGACTCGGATGCGTTGTGGTACTTATACAGTAGAACGAATACCAGCATCCAGCCTCTCCACTCGTCTGTTTGCTCTCGTGATAGAAAGGACGTCGTAGTGAGTCCTTTCGCCGACGACAAGACAGGTGCCTTGAAACGAATTGACAGCGCTGCGAAAATAACTAGGCCAACCAAAGGTGATATAAAGTCGGGTATGTCAAAGTACTTGTCCTGCTTCGCGAAGATGTGAGTTCGGTCGGCGATAAGGCAGTATACCGCAACGATCAGTATGGTAGCCAACGCCAGAAGAGTATCCATGAAGCGGGACGTTCGTGCAGACGGAAAAGCATCCTGCTGCCGACTCAAAAACAGGATTGGCATTGTTAGTATATTGAGGCCAAGTAGCAAAAGCTGAATCCGACGAAGAGGGGAATACGGCACACAGCAGGTGATCTGGTTGGCGTATCCTCGTCTAATCAGACCGGCATTGCAGTGGGCATTGAGGACGACATCTAGTTTTCTCTCCGCCACGATGTCGACCGAATGTATACCATCCTCAAGCATAGCGTCGTCGTGTCCCTCGGTCATGCCATTGTAGGCCCTTGCGATGTGTGATTTTTCGTTCAGCTCCAGGTGATCCAGGTTCCAATTCATGGCGTCAATCCTCCTAGGAGTGATGGCTCGCGCGCGGGACGCGGTAAGCATATCGTAGGCTGGAACAGGCACGGGTGCCATAAGGACATGGTTAGAAAGCTCTGCAAAGGCTGACTGTGAGTTGCTCTGAGGGTACACCATCAATTCGTCGATACTCTTATGCAGGTACGGCATAAGGACGTTGATGCCTTCTCTGAAGAGCTCCAAGTACCGGTCACCGCCCTGACGGGCCGCCCATAGACCTGGAGTGCCGAGAACGATGAGCGCTGGTGAACCTCTTCCTTCTTGTCGAACAAGTTTCTCGTAATCGGCGGATCCGGGACGGTCCCGAAATCGAGCCAATTGGCTATGGAGACTCGTGGAGTTGAGCCAAGGGTCCCAGATAAACTCCAATTTGACGCCTTCAACATCCATTGTGAGGTTTTGATGTTTGTCATCCGACACGGCGAAGTCAAGAATGGCTTTCTCGGCGACGTGATGGTCAAGTCGGGTCATGGCAGCAAAGTAGAGCTGGCGCATAGTCGAGTCTCCCATGATAACCAGGTGACGACCTGCGAAGCAATCCGAGACATCCTCGCGGGACATCTCGCGCATTCTGCAATTGTCAGGCTCCCATTTCGAAAAGACGTCTCTCGGCAACTTTGAGCCGGGCCGCGAGCGCCAGGTGCCGTTGGAGAGCAAAGCGTTGCACTTGTAGGGATCATGTTGGCCTGCATCTCGTGTCAGCTTCTTGACTCAGCTTAAGCTTGTCCACGACCCTAATTTGGTGGGGCAGCTGGAGAATGGAACTGCTTTAACCGTACCGAATACGAAATACTGGTAGACGACTGAGAGAAGCAGTATTAAGAGGGAAACCCGCGGTATGGTCCGGAGAAAGAAGGGCGAGCTCCCGGCAGAGGAAGCTAACCTTTGAATGCTGCGAATCATTGGGGGCTAGGAGGGACAAAAAGGAACCACCCGATAAGGTACGGCGCGCGATCTCAATGCTCCGACTGGTGGTGGCGGTTGCAGCTGGCGGGAAACCGCATTTCTCTTCCGCCTAGTGGAATGCTCCCCGGACTGTTCAGGGACGTGTTGAAGAACAGAACAGAAGAAGACTCGCGATGTTACAAAACCGAGAGAGAGCACTACGAAAGTAGAGTAGTAGAACGCGAGTTGAGGTAGAAGGGGAGGTTCGGAGAGGAACAGTCAAGCGGCGAAGGACCCAAGAAAGGAATCGGACTGATTGTCAACCCCATCAGACGCGCATGCGAGCGCGGCTGCCATTTCCCTTATAATGCCAGCAACGGTCGAGGCCAAGAACTGAACGGATGACAGGGCTGGCGCTGCCAAGGTGCCGCTACGGAAAGGGACCCGTCCATGGTCTTGGAATGTCATTCCTCAGCCTGTGACCTGTCAGCCTGGAGGGAAGGGAGTGGAGGGAATCCGCGGAAAGGGGAAGGCAGTCACACGTACGCCGCATCTACGCAGACTCCAGAGCGGCAGAGCACATTGCATTGGCACATTAGGCCCTGGGGAAATCGATAAAAGATGGACGGGGGGTTGCACTTGGTGGGAATCACCGTCAGCAAGCGAGCTGTTGGTGACTGCTCAGATGGGATGGACGGGCAGCCGTGAGATAACAGGCCAGGCGCCCCCCTTCCATGATCCCTGCTGGATGTCGACGACGCACCTTCTTTTGGCAAGCCAACACGCGACATTGTGGGGGAGACTCCGAGAGAGAGAAGCACGAACCCGAGCACCGTCATTCTGCTCGCCTATTTGGCACCGTGTGGGATGCTCATAATCCCGCTATTGCCGCCAACGATTTGTTATCAATCAATCACCCAACCCGCTGGTCGCTTTGGGACTCTGGGAGTTTTGTGGGCCAGGGAACACAGTGTGGTCCACTTGTGTTGGCCAGTGCAGCCACGCTGACGGCCAAGAAGGCGCACCGCCTATATTTTCTCTCGGCTCGAATTTTTTTTTTTTCCTTCTCTTCATTCGTCCATCTTCCCGTCGGACACCGTTTACAGTCGGCCAAACATATGCCGTTGCAAACGGCGGCACAACTCTCGATACTCGAGAAAGTGAACTACTCGAGCACTGCCAGTCACTCCATGGTGTTTATCCTTCATTCGGAGCATATCAGGCTGCTGCAAGAACTGCAAGAACAGAGGTAGGTCAGAGCAAGGAAGCTTCCGCCAGTCACGGAACGCATCACATACATGCAAACTTGATGCCGTCTTTTGCCATAGCTCGATCAGTTCAGCCGTCTCGTCTTCTGATCTTGAGCCGGATACACCACGCCTTGCGCGCGGTAGTATGAGACAAGATCGAACCCCAGGCAATGTTCTTTGAGTACGTAACCTTCTGATTCCATGTGAAGGCTTGCGTAATTTATCTGTTGTCACACCTCTCAGTCTTGACCCTCTTTTTCATGTAGAGATCGTTTCCATTTCGTGCGCGTATCTACCTCTCTACCTAAGAGGCAAGAAGAAAACTTTTTGTAAAGGCAAATTTCAAAAGCAAAACATTCGGTCCCGTTCGTTCCCGTTCCATAATCTCAAGAAAGCCGCCAGCCCGATCGCATGCTGCTTCGCTTGAGTCTTGACTCCCTACTCACATCCCGTAAAACCCTGATACATGTGAGACCAATCCGCAATCCTCACTGAATGTACGTTGCCCAAGTGCCAAGAGGGCGGGGAGTGGGCTGCTTCGTCTGCTTGACATTTGCCTCCAGAGCCGATAACAGACCCTGACGGTCGAACTCGGTCAGCTGAAGCTTCTGCGCAGTCTGAATATGCTGAACGTCAACTTTCAAGATGTCTCGGATGGCAAGAAGCTCGTCAGCGCCCAGGCTGTCCGTGATACGCTTGGTCTTGTAGTTCAAGAGGAAGTGGTTGCTCATCATCTCCTCACGCTTGTTGAAGATGGCAGTCGTGGCCTTGGAAATTTTGATTGTCACCTCCTTGAGGTTGGGGCACTTGGCCAGCTTGAGGAACGCCGAGTCAGATTGAGGACCGCACCAGTGAATCTCAACCTTGCGCAGGTGGTCGAACAGGTTGCTGTTGGTGTTCAGGTGGCCAAGAAGCTCGCAGCAGCAGGCAAAGTACTGAGTCTGTTCGCCGTAATAAATCTGATAGAACTCATCTCTCAGGGCTGCTCCCAAAGTCTTGTACATTTTAAACTGTTGCTTCGCCATGTGTCCCCACAACTTTGCCTCAGGGTTGGCACAGTTGCAGCGGTACTTGTCTTGGATGCGCTTGAGGGCAGGCATTCTGCAGGCCTTGGAGCTGGTCTCAACTACCATGTGAAGCACACGTGCTCGAATCTCACGGGGCAACTTCATGAACGGGAAGACGGTAGGAGAGGGGCGGTCTGCAATACAGGAGTTAGTTACTCTATGGACATTTCCATTCCGATGTACCCATAACAATCTCTGAAAGAACATCAACGTCGTTGAGTTCATGAAGCACTTACTGGCAATCTCCAAGACTTCGGTGCACATATGAATGAGCAGGGCGCATTCTCTTGTCTCGTCTTGCTTGTTCTTTTTCTGCTTTGTCATTCTCTCGGTACACTTTCGGATAGTGTCGATCATGGCCTGACGTCTCTTGGAGCTCAGACGAAGCATCCGGCCGAGCTCAGCCATGTCAATGGTCCCTGTTTTGGTGTCTTCCAGAGCTTGCAGCATCACCTGAGTGTTGTGGCACAGGTCGAAGCGCTTGTGGATGTTGCGACACTTCAAGACGAACCACGAGTCCATGCCCAAGACCATCTTGACGGTATGCTTGTAATTCTCTTTCTTTCCTTAGGTACGATATCTGACAGTCAAGACGCGCTTGGTGAACGCTTTGACGATATATGCTCGGTGCAGTAAGCCAGGTGTCGGGACGCTAGAGATATATGGTCGGAAAGAAACGGTCTCAAGTCTGATGAGGGCTCTGACTGTTGTCGCTTCTAAAATGAAGTGATCTAGCGTTCGAATGAACCGCGTGGAAGTTATGGTGAATGGCCGGTTCGATGTGATTCAGGTATGCGCTAACATCAAGCGAAGAAGAAACGCGGAGATGTCGATGTACGGTTCTGAGGTGTGTTGGGTAGGAAGAGGCGTCTTTGATGGGAAGAGGGCTGGGGAATATTGCAGATTAAAGTAGTCCAGGACTGATGAACTGTGCTTTGCGACTCTCGTGAACTTGGATAGCTGCTAATGGAGGATTTGTCGATTATTGCTCCTGCGTGATGACGACGCACAACTCGTGGTGCTTATCAAATCGACCTGCGGCTTCAGTATCAGTAAAAGAGCAGAGGGTTTTGGGATATGATCGAGATGAACTGCAGGCTGCGATATGAGGGTTTCCTCACAGAGTGATGGCGGTTAAGCGTATATAAAAATTGAGAGTCGTGAGAAAATAAATGCCAACACGTAATCCAAGAACTTACCTGTTTTTACTGCGCGAGAGCGTGAGAAAGACGAGAAGACGAAAGTTTGGTGCTTCCAGTCGGTCGGTGGAATGGGTGTGAAGGGAAAGGGATATAACAAAGCTCAAGGGCTTAGAAGATATAAAGTAGTGTGAGCTCTGGTGATGTGAGTCGTAAAGTAGAAAAGTGCGCAGGCTATACCCCGGTCGGTGAGGTGTGAAGAAGGGAAGAGTTGCTCAAGGGTCGCGGACTGTGAACATGTGATGTGATGCGAGCCCGGTATGGCAAGAAAATATTGTAGAAAAGGGTCTTGTCGATACCTTAGTTTGAGAGGTATGAAGGGGGAAGGGTTGCTGAAAGATCTCAGGCGGTGGATATAAGCCCCGTGAGGTGACGTGAGGCGCGTGAGCGGAAGGATCAAATAAGATCGTTCAGAGGAGGGCTGAGGAAGGTACGAACGAGGCTGTTAGAGGTGTAGCCTGTGCACTCAGTTATCGGTGAGGTACGGAGTGGGAAGAAACTTCTCAGAGCTCCCGAGTGTAGTTGTTTTGATACACGCTCGTGAGTGAGATGTGTGTACGTGAAAATTACCAACGAGACCTTCGAGAGGATGTAGAGGCTCGCGTATCGTGGGCGCGCTCAGCTGTTGTTCGAGTATGAAGAATCAATGGATTCCTTAAAGGGTCCGAGGACGCATGGACGTGGCCGTGAAGTGAGGTGTGCCTGCTGTAGGTCTGGCAGCTGCGAATAAGGGCGGTTAAGCAGAGAGCAGAAAGAGGCAAGTGTGGTCCTGAACGCTCAGGAGTCCATGAGATACGAATGGGCAAGTAATCCCTCAGGGGTCCTGGTTGAGTATGTGTGATGTGAGTGTAAGGTGCGATTTGTATGTGCACATGGGACAAGCGGGAAGAGGGGGTGTTCGGTGTAGGGTGTAGAAGGTAGATGGACTTTTGCTCTTCCTTGTTGCGGAAGAAGAGGGAGAAGCCAATCCTTGTTTCTATGCTTTTGTGATTGAATTGTTAAAATGTAGGTGATGAATGCCTTTGGGTGGGGGAAGATGTAGTGGTTCAGTTAGGACGGGATGCGATGTTTTCTTAGCAGGCACAGTGAGGTCGACTAAAAGGCAGGCACGATGGAGTCTCTTATTCAGGAAGGCAGGTCCCCTGCAGTGGGATCGATCTAGGAAGGTGCAGATAATCAAAGGCGGTCCAGCTGTGTGGGATGTTCTGTGTATCAATTTTTCAACATAAGAGAAGGCTACATAGACTGAATGCGACGTAGTGTGGTTCTCTCCCCACATGAGGCTTAAGTCGACTACACTACTAAATGCTGTCCGAAGTGTCATTTTGAGGGAAGACAACAAGTTGCCCAGGGGCCAGTGAAATCACTATGTCTTCAAGTCAAGTTTATACGGATCCCGAGTGATGTATAAGAGGAGCTCTTCAATGATAACGGGCTCAGTGACATACTATCAAGGCTGCTTGACATCTATTAAGGTATGTGCAAGATTAGGTGGCATATCTCAGGCCAAAGCGAGTTCCAAGTTACGCCTAACATATGTTGTAAGCGGTTTAATTCGTATCCTCAAATCTAACTTAGGTTCAAGAGATGTATAATTCTCCATCACTGAATGTGGCGCGATATACTTGGGATCCATTGCAGATATCCAACTAAACGTTGTTGCTGAATAGGTGATTTAGGTGCCGAGAGAATCAGCAACACGATGGAAGTCATGATCTCAAAATAATATGCCGACTTACTCAATTGAAACAAACTCGTCTTAAATATAATGCCTGTCCTTGTGGTTTTGTACGAAGAGTGGTCACGAGTGTCGTATCTGGAAAGCCTCAGGGGATGAAAACGTGATGTGCTTCCATTCCAACAGCCTTTCTCAACAAGTCAACAAACCTTGTGTATTACTTTGACAACAAGCAAAATACTACAATCACCAGAAATCACCTCGCTGCTGACAAAACTATGGAAAACTCGGCATCAGGTTGTGGATGACGTATCGCAAATGTAAGTGGGACTGCGGCAACAATTATTAGAGCTACCAAGAGCTGGATACACGCTCTCATTCCTAGCTTCCCAAGAAACCCCATTTAAGTGACAACATGTCACGAAGATTCATTCAATTGACAACAAAAGCAACGGTGACATGACTGGCAAGCGAGGCGATTCCGAGAATAGTCTAGACAGTGCGATCCTTTGTTAACCTATGGTGGGGCAACATGTCGAGCTTTATTCCAAATAGTACGGACATCAAGACTCATATCCTTTGTCCAAATCTCTTAGGTCACCGGTGCAATAAATTGCCACTTGAAACGATGTGTTATCAATAGAGTAGAATTTCTCGTGTGTATCGTCGGTTTCGAGGTGGAGTAGTCCTTGCCTCAGTGCCATCTTGTTATATCCAAGTCAAGCAGTGTTGCCATATTCATACAGTAACTCAGATGCCATTCCCAATCCAAGTTCCCCATTATCATGTAAAAATCAAAAAACTAAGGCTCGAACACAACGGCCATGGTGACCTTTTTCCCCCAAAATTTCGACCCCAAACTCCAAGGCGATGCCGGAAAAGGACGCTTCGAGACGCCGAAATCGGTTGTCTCTTGATACCCAATATGGGAAATAAAAGTGTCTCAGATGAGAACGGTCGAGAACCCCTCGGGCCGAGAACCTCAAGACCTCTCATCCTCTTCCGGGACGGACCGGAACTGACTCTCGCGAGGCAAGGGGTTCATCCGGAGCGGGCTGTCATCCACGTCCACGCTGTTGTGGCGTGATGTGCCGGGGCTGACGTTGATGCTGTAGTAACTCGACCGCGCATCGCGGCTCATCGGGCGCTGGCCCTTTCCGAATGTCATGGTGAAGCCGTTGAGAATCTCCTGGTGTCTGAGGTTGGTCTCGTTGAAGGGCCTCTCGCGCGGATCGGCCTCCTTCTCCTTGATGGCAGTCTTCTTCTTTGGCTTCTCTTCCTTTGCTGAGCGCCATCCAAATGTCTTTGCGAGGCGGAGAGCTGGGGACTTTGGGTCTGAGCTGGTACGCTCTCCCTGGCTAGGCTCGGAGATGGACTTGCGGCGGCGGAAGTGATCGCGGATGGCCATTACGAAAGTGTTGATGATATGTATGTAGAGCTATTGACGAAGTGGATGATGGAAAGGCAGAAGATGATAACGGTAGCTGATCCTTTAAGAAACTGCTTGACAGGATGCCTGATATATTTGGTGATATGTTTGGACAGGTGAAGACTGGTATTGAAGATGTGTGGTATGGCTCTGGATTGGCGTTATAGGCTGTTGGTTTGTCTGAGTGAATTAAAAGAGGAGAATAATGGTAGGGGAGCCCGATGGTATTTATCCAGGTGTGACAAAAGCCAAAAGACTTGGCAGCATGGGAGGGGAACGGATGTGGCGATCCCAAAGAATAGCACCGTTGGAAGGACCCAAGATGGTGGGATCCGTGTCGCTCAAAGGACCTTTCCAGGACCCTGCATCGTTGGGGTTGCTCGCTAGCCGCTGCTTTCACGACCCGTGAGGCCATATGCAGGGCAGCGTCCAAATGGACTAACAACGCGCTGGGTGGGAGTGGTAAGGCACCACTCACACCAGACGGGCCGGAGATCGACTCTCCAGGCCGATGCTACCTTACGTGCTCAAGATGGAAGGCTTCTTGGATGGCGCAGCGTCCGCCTCCGGCTGGATGCGGGGGTCTTCTTCAAATGCGGGGCGACGTCATTCCAAAAACACATGTTCTGGTATCCTAACCATTGCTCTTGGAGAAGCTCCCTCGCCTTGGCCGATAGTAATGCCACCGGGTTCCGATGTTTCCTGCTCTCCTCCGATCCAGATGATCTTCAACGTGGCGGGGTTGAGGTCTTCGACGGTCTCGACCCGATCTCTAAACTCATTGTTCTGCATTCTGGCCGTCCCAAAATGTCTTCTTTGAGAAAACCGACCCGTCCCCGATGGTACCGGCCAGGCCGGTTAGCGCTGCAGGCCTGGATTCCCGCCATGTCTCACTTAGTCTCAGGTACTCTAAACTCAATAGAATCGTAAGCAGCAATTCTCGGGCTCAAAGATCAAACAAATACCCGCGCGTGTGCGTCGAAAGGACATCAATTGGTGCACTCTATCTCCAAAGACCTAGCCATTTCCGGAACGCCGCTGCCAACGCAGTGACAACCGCCGGGCTGCTGCCAGAACCCATTCTGGCTGTCTTCGAGTCTGCCTAGTACCGAATCGAGCCAATTTAGATGTGCAGAAGGGGATACAAGCTTAGACAAAGAAGAACCTTGTGTGTGCGCTACCAAGAGTGCGCGAGAATTCGAGTACCCCTGCTGATCTAACATGGCTCATCGAGATGTGCACTCGGCTCCAAAAACACCAGCGCTGCTAGATCCAAGGCCTCCCAGAGCTGTGAGACCCCAGGCCAACGCTGCAGATTCCCAGTCCATATCCTCATCGGGCAGTTCGTCGCCTTCGACAGCAATGCGGCTTTCCGCAGGACTCGGCTCGTACGCATCTTCTGGTGCCTCTTCGTGGTTTGCCGTACGCTTCAGGGTACGGCCTTGACGAGTGCTTCTAGACGAAGGTGCCTCTGAAATTGTCATCTCTGCAGACTTATTTTTTTCTGCATGTTGATTGCCCCTGCGTCGCGTGGAGACTGTGTTGGTGTGGCTGGACGATTCCGATTCCGGCTTTGTTTTGTCACTTCCTCCCAGTAGTCTGGGTGGTGGCTTTGCCTTCGATAAGTCGTTCGGAGCGAATGGAGTAGAGGCAGCTAGAATGTCATTTACATCCAGCACACGTGTAGCCGCCCATAACCCTTGGCTGAGTCCGCTGAGCAAAACGTCCCATGCCACAGCAGCTACAACAGGATGGTCGGATGCCGATCCCAAGACTTTCCCCAGCGCCGTTGTTGTACGCTCCCACGTCGAGCGTTTCTCTGTGTCAAAAGGCAGGAACCGGCTATGACGATGATAGTGGGCATTTGGCGCATTGTAAAGCAAAGCAAGCGCGGTGCCTTTGACGTGGAAGGCAAAACTTGCTGTGGACACAAAGCGAAAGAGCTCAGTGAATATGCCGTATGCTCCGTGAGGATCAGAGTATACTGTGCCCCAACTAGCTGGAACGACAGCGGGAATGACAATGGGGCCAAAGGTCAGAAGTCGCCCAAGGATTGCGATCCGGGCAAATGTCGCTGTGCCTGTTGTCGACGGAGCCCAGTATATCAGAACGTATGTAAAGCAGAACGATGCCAAGAGCAAGGCCGGGTGTGGCGTCCAATTGATAGGCTTCACAGGCAGTAATCTCTCGCGCAGGCGTCCTAGTGCAGAGGTGGGATGTCTGTCGTCTGCAGTGGTGGTCGGGGCAGGAGTAAGAAGCAGTGCGAGATAGAAGAGGTTCTGGGCGAACGAGAGGCTGACGAGATGTGCTAATCCGAGGTAGGCCCAGACAGAAGGGATTCTTCTTCGTGTGCCTTCGACTGCCAACAGCAAGCTCCATGAGACCGTTGCGAGTTCGATTTGCTGGCCCCACCAGAACCGACGAGCTTTTTCGGCGATGATCTCGAGAGCGTCCAGGTGGATTGGAGTGTCACTTAGCCAGCGGCCAATAAAGACTTGAATCGCAGTTTCGTTGGGGATGACTCCATGATCGCCATAGAAGCTAAGGTTCCATGAGTAAGCCAGACAAAGAAAGCGCAGAAGACGAAACAAACCGAACTGGAGCTTCAACTCCACGCTGATCTGCCCAGACGCGATATGAAAGTTTCGCATAGCTTGAGGCCCAGTAACTTGCAAAAGACAAGCTAATGAATGCCAAACTTGCGAACAACGGCGCAAGAGCTGAACGGCGAACAAGTCTTGCTCTTGTTCCTTGAGATGGCGGCAAGTGCTGATACGAGCTGTACAGACTTCGAGCGACAGTGGTGCCGAGAATTGCCACTGCAAGCGCATGGCCAGCCACCAAGCTCAAAGGCAGGTACCTGAATATCACGTTAGGATCGTTGGCTTTCATTTCGATGTTCAAACACACTTCACTTCCGGTTCCAAAGGCACCGGCGCCATGTTTGTTTCGGTGAAATGGCTAGACGACTGATGCTGATTATGGTGTTGTTACAGGATGGTCAGCCACTTTGAAAAGTGCACCGAGGTGAGTGATGTCGACCTCGGGGGTCAAAAGATGTAGGTGCGGCGCGCGTCATCATAAGCCAGCACACACTTGGGCGCGTTCCTTGGAAGCTCACTCGACAGCCTTTGCCTGCTGCTGTTAATCACAGCGTCGGTATGAGGTGTACAACTACCTCCATTCGAGCAATATGTGCTGTGTCGTCATGGTAGCGGTACCATGCTGCCAGGTAGACAGGGGCCCAGGGCGTCTGGCGGGAAGTGGAGTTCCAGGACCTGAACTGCACGTCAAGCACAGACCAGCGTGAGCCGGAGAAACAGAAACGGCGGCAGGGCTAGCGCGGGCAGGACTGTGACCAGCCCCACACCTCACCAACCATAAAAATCTCTTCTTGTGAGGAAGCCTCTCTTGTCTTCTCTTTTCCTCTTTACTACAATCCGGATCAAATTTACATCGACATATGTTTTTGGTCTGTATGGCGGCTCCGCTATGCGGCTTGCTGAGGGTTGTCCTGTTCTCCTTGGACTTTCTTCCGTTCCCGGCCTCCTAAAGTAAATCCTATGTGAACACCTTTCCTTATCAGCCGAGTATGACGACTCTTCCTGGTATTTGACTGTGGGGTGGTCTCAACATCCTTTTGTAAAGGAACCTGAGTTATTAAAACGGAACCTGTAGTGCGGAACGACTCGTTCGTGTTCCTACCGACCTGAAACCTGTGCGCAGAAGAGCCATATGGGCCAAGAGAGCAGTTGTTCCTCCACATGCCAACGCCTCGCAAAACCTTGGTTGAACCATGGTCTTTTACCAGTTACCTGGTCAGATTACGGAACCCTCCGTCTAAAACATCGGCCGGGGATCTCAGTAGTGACTTACGCGCATGACAGGCGGATCGATCTACAAACCTACGTCAGGATTTGCTTCTACGACACTGTCGTGTGTTTGCACGGTTGCTGTCGGTTTAGGGACGGCGTTAGGCTGCTACCTTTCAATTCCTGAACCATGGAAGCAGAGGCCTTATACGACTGTCCAACACGAACGGTCATCCTCCGCCAAAACTGACATGGGAGCGAGCGGGTCCGTCTCTATGGCAGCTATGATCACGCCTTCAAGTTGTCAGACGTAGTTGGTGCCTCGGCCTCCGCGACCATTCTTCCAGACCAGGAATATGAGGACAATAGTCGTCAGCGCGAACCCGAACGTCACAAACTGCATAGCCTGGTCTGCGGTTGCCTTGCTGCACCTCTCTAACAAGACACTTTCGGTCATGCCAGGTGCCAAATACCACTGTCCATCCTGCTTGAATTTTCCACCGTTGATGATATCGTTGTTCCCAATGGCTTTCCAATGCTTTTCGTCACATGCAACACCGTGTAACCCAATTGCGAAAGCCTGCCATGTTGTTAATAGCAAGTACATGGTATGATCATCGATGGACTTACTATACCACCGCCGAGGAGTAAGACCCCACTCAAGGCGTCCGCGGCCATCACTACGAGAGCCGGAATGGCGTCTATGAAAACAGCTACCAAGCCCAGCACAGCGACGGCTAATCCAAAGCCGCCAGTAAATGTGCTGTATTTGGTAGTCGTGGGAGCGTCGCCAATCTTCTGTCCCTTGACGAGGTCGATAGATAGCCCGAGGACAACGATAGCCATGATACCCTGAGGGACGCGCAGTGTTAGCTCAACCTAATTTCCAGGGTTCACTGAACGAGACGAGTGTATTATCGCAAACCTGAAGAGCCCAAACGCCCATGCTGATGAGGTTCAGCATCTTCTTAGCTTAAGACTATACTTCGTTTAGAATGTATGTGACGTGCTTCTGCACGAATGATAATCTTTTTGCTATACGAGATATGATAATAATGCGAGGCAGACAACAAAAATCCGTAACGAAAAAGTACGACAAAGTAAAAGGCGATAGATACCTCGCTTATATAGTATGCTCATTCAAAAACGAGGACAGCCCCTGAGTAACTGTGTCACTAGAAGCAGCGGGCAATCAACGACCAAAAATGATCTTTAATCGGTCCCAAGACGGCGCAGTGAGACGTTACTTGTTCTGCTCCCGTTTCTAAGTGACACATAGATGAATTTCCTGCATGTTTGCGCCGCTGGACGAGTCACAACGACTTCTCATCGGCTACTTGCATATCAGGCAGGCTGCTTTGCCAGCTTCTGCCCGGTACTACTCTCCAATCATCGTACCACAGGGCTTCCTCCCTCTCATCTTAGGGCATACAGTCTGGCTCGGGCTTGGGCCTCACAGGCTACAGCAGGCAACAAAAAAAACCGAAGAGGCAGTGAGTCAGTTCCGAGACCGATCCTACAGAGTCTTGCCCTCGAGAGCATCGAATCAGGTTCCACCATACAAATGTAGTTCAGCAAGAATTGGTTCGGAAATAAGTAGCCAAGGGAGTGGGCCACCGCTTCGCAAGAAAGAGCAGATACGACCTCGCTTTTGCTGGTATGACATGTTGTTGTTTGCCTGTCTAATTCTGGAAACACTAAATCGGCGCCTACTCAGATCGTTACCTCACCTTGGGTGGACCCTCCCCATGCCATTACCTGTGGGCACCGCCTTTACAGGCTACTCCAGCTTCGGGGCAAATGAAGGATATTGATATATTACCTGACGTGCCAGCATCAGTGGTCGACTTTCTGGCGAATGCTGACTCATCACATGAAGGTTAAAAGAACTGCTGCGATGAGGTAAGCCGGAGAATCTGAACTTGGGCTTTCCGAAAGATGGCCGGATAAGTGGAGTCCATCTGAATGTGCCAATGCAACTGTATCCGTCACTTTCCACTGCCTTTCTGAACGCACGGGCCAAGTCGCGATTGGTCTGCCCAAATTTTTTCGACAGCTTCCATCATCGGCCTGCAAGCCCACATCTCCTGTCCACTGTCCAACTCCGATCCCCGGCTTCATTCATCCGCCACGTCCACAACCTTCACCATGTCGTCGCTTTGGGATACCCTTTCTGGTCGCAAGTCCTCTCAGAAGGACGCCGGTGCTTCCCAGTCTTCACCGGCCCCCGAACCTACAACCACCTTCCAGAACACCCCAGCACAGTTCGACCCTTCAGCAGGATCTGGCGTCGAGTCTTTCCTTCAGAGCTCATCCTTTGCCGACCCCGCGCAACTACACCCCCTCTCTGGACTGAACAAGGACACACTCGAATACCTTTCTCTCGAAGATGCGGCTCTGGCGGATGTCCCTGGCCAGTCTGCCCTCCCCTCCCGAGGCTTCACCGATGACCTTTGCTACGGAACGGGAGTCACATACTTGGCAGCCTTGTCGATAGGAGGAGCCTGGGGACTGCAAGAGGGTCTGAGGAGATCAGCCAACCAGCCGCCGAAGCTACGACTTAACTCAGTGCTTAACGCCGTCACTCGCCGTGGCCCCTTCCTGGGTAACTCCGCTGGTGTCGTTGCCATTACCTACAACTTTTTCAACGCGGGTATCGGCTACTTCAGGGGAAAGCACGACTCTGCCAACACGATCTTGGCTGGCGCTTTTAGTGGAATGGTTTTCAAGAGCACAAGGGGTGTGCGGCCCATGTTGATTTCCGGTGGTGTTGTGGCCTCCGTGGCCGGTGCCTGGGCTGTAAGTTGCCGCCTTCACAAGTATATTGGCGTCGCATATCTAATCGTTTTCGCAGGTTGTCCGCAGTACTTTCTTCTCTGCCCCCGAGCCTATTACTTCCGAGCATGCCACCTTGTAATTTACGACATAACCTGACGAATTGTCCCCGTTGAAACCCGCCAGTAATGATTATTCATTATGCCCATGGATCACGTTGGATCTGTGGACGATGATGCTCGCCATTGCGAGCTTCTTCTATCTGTTGTTTGAGTAAGGAAATTTAGAGCGCCTTAGAGGAGTCTTGGGCATTGTGACGGACGATCTCTCCTCAAGTGGACCCGTGTACAGTATTTAGGAAGGAGCATTAGAAGACCGCATCACTGGGTGGAAGTGGGCGTTCGGTACCTGTCAAAAAAAAGAACAACATTACACGTTCCTTCTACGTCCAAGTGTCCTAGACGGTTGTTGCCATATTGGACTGGCCTGCCAGCCTGATGGCAATGGAAGAGACGTCCTGAGCAGCATCTAACTAGTACAGGCTCTCCTCAGGCTGCCGATCGCCTTTCATCGCTACCCCCATGCCGCAGGAAAACATAAGCATGGAGAGGCAGCAGGCTAGATACCATTTCTATTATGTCCGCTTCACCTGAAATCGCGTGATAGCCTCGACGTGAAGTTATTTTTCACTATCAGCTACGGTCACGACCGCGGAAGATGGAGACATCCGCAACTCGCGACAGGCTTGATCGATCTTGGGCTGGACAATATACAAGCTAGAGCGAAGCATCTCGATCGCGCTACATCTGACATAGGTTCAATAGGAGTTCACGTATACAACGAAGTCGGTGGACAACGCTTTCTTCCCTACGATACCTCGTCGCCACTACCTAGAGAAACAAGCTATCTCCCCGAATCTCTCAGCGTCCGAGAACACGGTCTCCAACGATTCGGTCGTTGTCGTATGATGGGCTGGTGGTCTTGTACGAATGTTTGTCGCAGGAGATCGGCGAGACCGATGAGACCCACGATGCCTACGGTGCCTACGATTAAGCTCGCAGCGATGATGGTACTGAAGGTCTTAGTCCTCCAAGCGAGCTCGATGACATTGGAAACCACAAGCGGGCATTGCATCTCTTCCTGAGGAAAAGGTTCATAAATATCCGTAACTTTCGTTGTGAAAAACCCTGCTGACTTCCATTTCTTAGATCCAGGAAGTTTCCCGAGTAAAAATGTTTTGCCTGAGTAATTCCTCTCTGATCGACAGCGAGTCCTCTCACGTCGTATTGATATACCTTGACAGGAATGGCGGCTCGATCCTCCAGAAGTCGTCCTGGCCGGTGTGGACCGACTTCGAAGCTTTCATCAAAACAATGTCTGTGTATCATTACGAGGCCACCATCAAACGGGGCGGTAGCGTGGAGAACATCAAGTAAACTTTCCTATAAAAAGTCGGCGACTTGATTACATCAAAGCCGGATCCGCATCCCCCCAAAATCGCCATCGCCAGGAAGTATCCGACCTGGTTCAATAATCTTGGCACGATGAATGATACGTGGAGTTACGCGAGGATCGACGCCCAACAAAGTATTGACATTGCAGTGAACTAGAAGGCCTCGCATGACCTTGGTGGCAAAGTTGCCTTTGATACGATGAATAGATTAGGAGAAGCAGAAGAAAACACAGTTGGCTTGGTCAAGGTAAGTCAAGCACATCGCGTTTCGGGTCGAAGACTTGGGATTAACCGCTCATTAGCTGTGGCAGCGCAAATCGATCAAGCAGCTGCCCGAAATCCTGCAACTGGTCGGCCAACCTTTGCTTGCGCCTCTGGCATCAATGCTCGCTGCAAACGGCTTCTTTCCTCATGACATTGACAGACTGTTGAAATCTTCTTTTGACGGAGATATTGAAGACAATGACTGGCCTGAGGATTTCCGCTGCTGGATTTTGCGCGTCGTTCTCGTTCGCTCGGCCCATGGTAGCTCAGCCACGTGTTGACGCGAGTATCGATTGTGCTTCGGAGTTGGATGTTCGTATGTCTTGGCCAGTTTGGCACCTGCGTTTCGGTCTTTTTGTATTGCCGTGAGGCTCACGTTGATAATCAATGAACTGCGTTGTCGCATTGCATCCCTTATGTACCCGATATCAATTCCAAGGAAGATGCGGTCTTCTTTCAGTATCAGGGCATGCAAAGGGCCAGATTCATCATCAGTGATTACCATCCCAAGCGTCATTGGAGATCAAGGACCTACAAACCGCCTCAAGAGCGGACCTGCCGCAATCGACTGTTGCTTCAGACCCCACTCCCGACTGACTTCATCTTTCACTCCTACCACCACCATCCTCGGACCCGAATCCTCAAGCAACATTATTGCAAACTATTCGAATCTTCCCGACTGCTCGTCTTCCATGTAACGTCAAAATGTGCGGATTTTGGCCTTTCTCGAAGGCACACTACGACAACGAGGATCCGCCACTTGTCTATCGCCTTGGCTGGGATGGCCAGAGATACGCTATAGATGTTGTAAGTAGAATACCTCTTGGATACCTTTTGCTTCCTTTCCCCTCTCTTGTAATCCCAACAATTGCCGTTTTTTCCCTCCGTTTTTCTAGTAAGCCCCCGGAAGATCATGCAATGACCTGCCCCCTTTTCTTGTCTTTCGGCCTCAGAGACAAAGAGCCGGCCAAGACATCACTGGAGCGGGTCATTGGTATACCAAAAGCTTCAAGCCGCAGTGGATTTTCATGCGGCTGGGTGAAGAGATCTGGCTGAGTTCTCGCCTTGGACCGCTCTTCAGATCTCTTCTCCTTCACATCTCTTTGATCAGCCTCATTTTCTATCAATTCACCCAAGACTGTGATGAGGTGAGAAGTCTCAGCTCATCAAAGCCCTCAATCGATGAAGGAGTCTCGTCTCCTGGCATTTGTTCTCTACCCCTGGATTTCCGAGTTTGATACACCAATCGAAACAAAAACGATCTCGATACTCTAGAAACAAGGATTCGGCGTCGAGTTCAATATATAATCGAGTCCAGCAAATCCGCCATGAAGTCTCCCAAGAGCAAGTCGGCTGCCAATACCACCGGCCCGCGGCAGGTGCGCTTCACGGAGGGCCGCAGCAACCCAGGTGCCTCCTTCCCCGTTACCCAGGGAATCGACACCTCGACCGCTCCTGCCTTCAACACCCACGAAAGCGACGTGGGTGAAGACAGCGGTGTTTTCCTCCACACCTCAACCAATCCCTCTGCCTCAGTCAATCTTGGCCATCACTTTCCTCCCACACCCTTCGGTCAGGCTGCTCACCCACACCTCAACCCTTTCATACCCTCCACCTTGCACCCCGCCTACATCTCCGAGACCAACTCGTTCGCGCCTTTCGGTAAATTCAACCCGTACGGACTTACCGCGCCTCCCTACGTCAACATGGCCGACTACCAGAACATCGCTCCGCCTACTAGTGGCCTTCACTTCCAGCCGCCGGTTCCCGACACCACCTACGGCCCCATGCAGCACGTTTACGTGCCTCGCTTCGACAACGGAATGCCTCCAGTCTATCACGTCGGTCTCCCTCATGCTCAGGCTCTGCCAGTGGCCTCTTTTGTTGCCCCGAAGCCTACTCCAGTTCTGCTTGGCGCACCTCTTGTTGTTGTTCATTATTATGCAAGTCCCCAGCGCACATACGCTGCGATTGCTTCCTGAGCCGAGCGGCTTGTGTGATTCATCGGGCACCTGGATTTCTTTGCTTCATCTAGCCGCCTCATTTTCATCTCACTAAGCTCACCCAAGGTTTCGAGAAATAGTTTGCTGACTTGAGATGGTAGCAGTCCCCCGCCAACAACGTCACCTACATTGGCCAGGCCCCCCCTCAGCCTCCCATCATCATGGCCCAACAGCCTGCTATGCACGCGGGCATGAGCATGCACCCTCCGATCATGCTTCAGGCTCCTCCCGCCGGTTTTAGTGGCCCTCCCATGTTCCAGGGTGCCCACATGGGTATGAATATGCCTCCCAACATGGGCGGAGGTGGAATGCCCGTCTTCCCAGGTAATACCAATCTTCCTCCGGACGTCACTGGATATGGCAAGACTGCTGGAGAGGTCGCCATGGAGCAGGCCCAGTTTGCCTATTCCAATGGTCTCTTCGAGCCCCAGGACTTCAAGCCTGCGGACGATGACCCATCCCGCTACTATCCCGTCCGAGAGGTTGATGGTAACTGGACCCAGCGCAATCGTTTCACTATTGACAACCTTGGCGATTGTCGTTGGTATGTCACCAACGAGGGCTACTTCTACGCCGTTCGTTTGCCCAACTAAAGTATTCCTTCATCATAGGTATTTCACTTCAATTAGAAGGAAACGAGATGAATTGCTAACGTTCCAAGCAGCGTCAACGGGCAGCGAGATGATTTGGAAGATCTTGGGGTGAATGATGAAACGGAGAAGATGCCCTCGTGAGTATGCGAAAAGGAATGAGGAGGCTCCCATGTCTGATCATAGCAGATGATTTCAACTTTCCGGCAACTTGCCCTTCAGACCCCTCTAATCCGTCATTGGTCCTCAGACCGTCAGGTAAGGCATGCAATCTATGGCAAAGCTACAACAACTGACAAGATATTAGAACGATCATTAGAGCAGGTAACCTGTCTGCTTTAAGGATTTGTTCACGTCATTCGCCCAAGGACAATACGGATACCAGATTGGGCTGAATGGGATGAAAGGGAGAGGAGGATAAAGTCAATGGTTTCCTATGTCGACATGCCAGAGAATGCTCTCGCCCAGGCCGCCAAAGTTGCGGTTAAGGTCGAAATTGGAGGCAGCTTTCAATATGTGGCTTGGACATAGACCAATATTTCTATTCCTGGGGTCGTTTGACGATGGCTCGGAAGAGGCTGGATGACTCAACCTGAACCTAGGTAGATTGCGAACCCCATAAGAGTGATTTCGAGACGCCACATTTGCCTGATTATCTTGCATGCGTGAAAACTCAAAGCGATGCGAATGAGTGGGTTATTTAACTGTAAAGAAGCCTGTAAGGTATGATTGAGCGTGACAGGGAATTACTTCTCTCTGAGTTTGAGATCATGATGTCCAAAGAGGATTGGAGCCTTTCTTTTTTGCCTACTATTATTTGTACTCTTATTGAACGATTGACATGTGATTTGCTTTCAGAGTCCAGTAGTACTGGCTACCCAAGGTAGGTGATTTACTTTAGGCAGGTACAGAAGTCGGGCAGTTCCTTCCAATGCGGGCGAGGTAGTCACTCTGACCTGGCTTCACCTACCTTCGTACCCAGGATTCACCTCCTTTTGCATCCAATGAACCCATCAATGCAGAGATACCACCCCAATTCTGTGCTTTCCCTTCCTGCAAGTTCTCTAGAAAGAAACTAGTCGAAGGCGGATTCCGCAATATTCGTTGACGATCGGGCTGCATCCACAGTACAGAACCTCCCACTGACAGCATCTCGGTAGTCAACCTCCACCATGACGCGTAACGCCCGCAGCTCTACTCTCTGCGAGTGGGCCCTTGGCGTCAGCGTCGAGGAATACTGCAACTCTATTGAAAGGCGCAGACGCAAGAAGTCCAGCAGCAGACAGCGGATCTGCGTTGAGATTTCCACCGACGACGAATCCGAGGAGGATACGGTCAAGATCACATACCCGCGCGCCAATCGCAGCAAGGACTCTCCGGGATCCGGCTCCAAGAAGGTCCGTTTTGAAAAGGCCTCGTCAAAGCCTGCGCTGAAGGCTGTGAACGCAGAAGCTGAGTCCAAAGGTGATACCAACATCCAGTGCGGGCATGAGTATCGAAATTCATCAGGAGAAGACGAAACTAACTACGGAGGAAGCAGACATGAAGAAATCGGAGAAGGCAGATGACACATCCGAATCTGAGTCGGAAGCTAAGTCGAAGAAGAAGAAGAGAGGTGCCAAGGCAGCTATGAAGAAGGTAGTGGATTCTTCGTCCGAAAGTGAGACAGATGAGACTGAGGAGGAGACGCCGGCACCTCTCAAGAAGAAGAGACAAGAAAAGACGAAGGACAATGTCAAAAAGTCATCTAAGACCAAGGAAAGCGCCGTTCCAGCCGATACCGAGCCCAACAACGTCGGTCCTACAGTCAAGAAAGCCCGAAGCAAGAATGGAGGAGGGAAGACGAACGAGACCAAGAAAGTCGACAAGCCTCAGAAAGTAATGCCCAAGGCGGCGTTGTCTCCTCACCTACGCCGACCCAATCTCATAATGCCCATTCGCGCGGAGGTCATTCAAGTTGAGCATACCATTGAGGGCGTCGAAGATCCTCGACCCAACGCTTTCCACGACCCTCAGCACGGCGTTGTCCGAGTCTATCATGGACCAGCCTACGGCAATCCTTACGGCTTGCTCTATCCTGCTCGCGATCCAAACAACGCTCCTTTGCCGATGGGCGTCCCCCATCCCCTGCAGAACCCCTATTTTTACGGTTTCGCCAATCCCTCAAACCCCGGAGACAACCACTTCAAGGGCCAGTCTCCCTGGGGCTCTATGCCCGTCACTTGTATGCCTGGAGGACCGCCAGTCATGGCAGCAGTCGACCCGATGCAGATGGGAATGCAGATGCCGCCGTGGTGGGGTCCCTTGTCTCCTAAAGGTCTTTCTCCAAAGGGATCTCCGAAGCATGTTATGTCGGGGGCCATTCCAGCAGACGCAGCATCGACGACAGGTGCCAAGAATAAGGAACAAGGATGGGATACCAACGTTGGTCCTCAACAAACCAAGGCTGCTTCGCCTCTGGCAAAGGCAGCGAGTCCCAATACCGTGGCTCCTGCTTCTCCTATCAACATCAATTTGACGGTGAATCCAAATACACCATGGGCTGCATTTGCTAGCGACCTCAGCAAAAAGTCTACTCCGAACAAAAATGGATCGCAAAATGGAAGCAAAAATTCCTGGGGATCGAAGAAGAGCACAGACTGGCAGCCCCTGGGCAGTGGCCAGCATCCTGATCTTGCTTGGGGCAACACTCCCACAAAAAGCCAGGGAAGCAACAATTGGAGCAACAAGGGAAGTAACAAGGGAAGCAACTCGGGCTGGACGAAGATTGGGGATGCGAACAATGATTCTTGGGGAGCGACTGGAGGCAGTGGAAGCAATAGTGGGTGGAACACCACGAATACTGCCCAGGCTAATGATGCTTGGGGAACACCCGGCAACACTCAGAGCAACGATGCCCAGACAACTTCTGGTGGCGACGGCTGGACGGCGATGAATGGTAACACTTGGGACAATACCGACAATACGAATAAGGATGGATGGGGAACCTCCAATGACCAGTCAGCCGATGCCTGGGCTAAGTCTGGAGGCGACTACAGCAACAACTGGGGAACTGGATCGAATCATTCCAACTCGAAGAAGTCAAATAAAAGCCAAAATGGCAATGGAAGCAATCGAGGCACTAGCGGTCAAGCCAAGGCTGCTACGGACTGGGATGGCCAGGGAAACAATGTTGGCTACTCAGGATCGGAGCGTAAAGTGTCAACAAACTCGAACAAGTCTAGCAAGTCGAAGAAGACTTCACCACCGCCGCCCTCAACCAATGCTGGCTGGGACAACAACGCTGGGCCTTCGACCAACAGTCCCGTTGGTAACTCGTCCAACAAGAGCAACGGAAACGAGAAGAGCTCAAGGAATGCGTCCAAGGGCGATGCGTGGGCGACTGCCAGCAACTCGGCCTGGACTACATACAACAATGCTGGCCCAACGACCAACAATAGCCCCCACAATTCCCACTCGTCGAAGAAGAGCTCGGGAAGCAAGAGGGAAAAGACTGATCAATGGGTTTCGGCTGGCGGCGGCGCCGGACGGGGCCCCGAGACCACGAGCGGCGAAGTCAACTATGGCCCGACGGCGACCGAGATGAGTAAGACTTCGAGCAGCAGCAAGAGTATGCCAGGCGCCTGGGATACCAACGTCCCTCCTTGGGGAGATCTGACTTTGGCGCAATCGACAGGCGGTGCGGCAGACCAATGGTAGAGGTGATTATGGTGAAGCCGAGCTCAGGGGGAGCTCTTGAACGATACCGCAGCAGTAGAAGCGGAAGGGTGGTCGGCTGGCGGGAGGTATTTGACAGCAGCTGGTAGAATTTTTTGGAACCGACAGATCTTGGTGATCTGCATCTATTGGGGCGTTTTCCCCAACAAGGAGGTTGTGGACTTTGGCGAATGCATTATTTGGCAATGACTTGGGAGGGGAAGGGGGAGTTTGCGGGTTGAAGAGACATTGAGTTTTACGAGCCTAGACTGTTTTACCCGCACGGGTGGCGCGCGGGGCATTGCAGCTTTCACCCGAGTTCTACATCAGCTGGAGGACAAACAGCTTGGCACCAGAAATTGACGTAGATAGATCAAGAAACATTGAAACAAAGGTGCCGGTCAAAGAGTGAGAGTGGATGATTTGCCAATGGCTGCAGTCTACAAGATGTGTGCTACCTAAGTACCGACATCCCGTCCACCGACGAGAGATGTTCCAGGTTAAGGGAAACGCTCAGTCGCCGAATGGAGATGGGAACCGAGGGGAAAGAAAACGAGCGGACTGTTCTGGCAATGCTGCCCAGAAAAGATATGCGAGTTCAAAGTTAATGTTGGGCACGAAAAGTCATTGACTCCGAAATGCCAATGACGTCTCCCAATTTCTCCGTCAGATGCGCATTTACTCGTCCTCCTCGCTAGACTCCTCCTCCGAGGCCTCCTCGAGCCACTTGATGAAGGGCTCAGCGGCCTTGCGGACCTTCTTGGAGGTGGCCAGGTCGGTGTACTTCTTGCTGGCCTTGGTACCCCACTTGACGGCGACCTCCTCGCTGAGGAGATCGTGGTTGTAGTACAACTGGAGGATCTTGACAACTTTGTCAAAGATGTCGGGGTGCTCCTTGGCGAGCTGGCCAATGAGGCGCTCAGTACCACCGAGGAGGGCCTTCTCGTGGCGCTCAGAGGTAACAAACTAGGAGATGAAGTGAGTCAAGGGGTCATGAGTCATTGGTCCAAACGATGTTAACATACCTGCTTCATCATGCCGGCGCGCTTGGGGATCTGGGCGAGAATGTTCTCATCGAAGATGGTCTGCACCAGAACCAAGACGGAGCGGTGCTTGGTCTCGATACCAAGCTCCTTGGCCTTGACAAAGATGTCAATCGAATCGACCTTGTCGACACTGCCCTTAGCAGTGGCCTCATCCTGGATCCAGGTGCCAAACTCGTCGTAGACGGTGCTGCCAGAGGCCTCGCCATCCTCGTCTTCGTCATCGCCCATGTTGAGCTTCTGCTTGAACTCGCCGGGGAGCTGAGCCTGACGGGCCTTGACGGCCTCCTCGCTCATGTCGACGGCCCACTCGTGCTCCTGGGTCTCAAACTGGTCAATCTCGGGAGCCTCCTTCTTCATCTTCTCCAACTCGTCATCACTACCAACATCCTGGTCGTCAGCGTCGTTGGAGCCGTTGTCGGATCCTTCTCCGCCGCTTCCGCTTCCTTGTCCGTTCTCCTTGGTACCGTTGGCCTTCGCGCGGCGGGCAGCCTTGCGCTCGGCCTTGTCCTTCTTGCCCTTCTTCAGCTGGTTCTTCAGGATATAACCGCTAAGCTTCAGACGGAGGTCGACCTCGGAACGCTGGCCACAGGCCTTGCAGTCGAGGAGGATGCGACCGTCCTTGATGTTGACGTCGGTCTCGGGGTTCTTGCACTTCTTGCAGAGAACGAAACGGTTGATGAAGCCATCGAGGTGGTCTTGCAGCTTAGCGGCATTATGGGAACCGTTGATAATCCAGCGGTCGTCGGCAGGGTCAACGTTGGTCTGGGCACCGAGCTCGAAGCCAAAGTACTTGATGACATAGGCACCGGGACGGGCGAGAGACTGAGCGACGCTGCTCAAGTTGACGACAACGGTCTTGATACCGTTGCCCTTGCCCTCAATCTTGGTAACGATCTTTTCCATCTTGTAGCGATAGAAAGCGTCCTTGACGTCGCGACGAACGTTGATGAGGGAAGCCATGATTGCGATATTGGTAGTAGGTGGACTGAAGAAGAGTCTTGGAAGAGTCTTTTTGATTTAGGAGGGTTGATTGGATCTGGAGTTAAAAGGCTCGGGATGCGAAGCTGGTAGTGCTGTCGTTTGGACGGGCGGGTAGCATGAAGAAGCCGGAGGTCGTGATAGTATAGGATCGACTGATTGGCGAGGAAGCTGGTAGGGGAGCAAGAAGACGGACTCAATGCTCAAGGGTTCTTTTGATGAACATAGGGTAAAGCGAGACTAGATCGTCTTTGCTGTCGAGAATTCATGAACTCCTCTGGGTTCGGAGATTTCAGCCAACGGAACTGATGTTGGGGCTACAAGGTTTCGCTATGCGAAATGATTGCAGCTTGGGGACGAAGTGTCTGAAGACGGTGGTATTGTCGTGCTGATACATAAACTGCTATGTGGCTTGTACCGCGTGAGGGTGGTGTTGTATGTTCAACTCTCGCGGAAGAAGACTCGGTGGTCGGGAACGCGGCGAGAGAGGATGCTACTGGCGATTGTTGACGATACTGTGGTTGTTTATGGCGGGGTGTTGGGTGGTGGTGGTGGAAAGTGGCGACGTTCTCAGGAGAGAGAGGGGTGGAGGTGGGAAGAGGTTTTGTACGCTTTGGAAGATTTTACCGCGGAGGACGCGAGGATGCAGAGATGCCTAAGCAGGGCGGTGAACTGCGATTGCGAAAAGGTGGGTTTAAGATAATTGCGAGATGTGCTCGAATGGATCTCCGAGCGGAGGGTTTTGTGCGTTTTTTTCTTGTGGGTGGTGGGAAGAGGAGAAAACGGAGATGATTGGGCAGTGAGCGCAGAGTTTTGGAAAAGGCTGAGGTGGAGTCGGAGGGTGGTGGTGGTGGTGGCCTTCTTGGTGGTAGTACGGAGTAGAGGTGGCGGCGGCAGGACAGGAAGTTCGGAAACACATGAAAAGTCCCAGAAAGAAATGCCTAGAGTAAAAATGAAAATCCCTAGGAATAATAATAAAGTGGACCTCCCTTAGAGCGCTTGCCTACGAATTCATTGCCTCCTCAGCGCCTCATTCACTAAGGCGTCCCCCCAAAGGACACTCAAGGTTTGGGCGCTGGGGGCCGCGGGGAGTCTGGCGGGCTGGCTGGCCCTTGCCTCGTGCCTGTCAGAGTTGCGCCACCACTCAAAGAACCCCCTGGAGCCGTTCTGTCAGACATGGACCTCAGAACAATCAGCGAGCCTTAAATCCGAGTTTGAGGTTGTCGTTCGCTCGTTCGCCTGCCCCGCGGCACCACCGGGCCAGTCCAGTGTCCAGGATGCAACACGCAGCTGGGCAGCCAGTTCCACTTGCTGCCTTGCATGTTTCCTGACCTTTCTTTGAACTTTGGCCTCAATTTTTTTGTTGCTGTGCTATGTGTCGTCTTACATCATGGCACCCAAAGTAGGCATTTGGATATTACAAGGCATCGAGACAACAGCGACCCCAATTATCTTGCCTTCTCTTCCTCTCTCTGTGCTCTTTACACCCTCAAGAGTGTTTCATACTCGTTTGTTTCTCTCATGATTATTTCAACACCTCCTGCCTTCATCAGGCAATACTTGAGACAGTGAAGGGGTGGGAAAGCCTAGAGGCCTGGCGCCATTTCCTGGTTCCATTGGCATTTTAAAGGGGGAAACCCGCGACAGCTCCGCGCCGGGCACGGGCCAATCAACGGTCTTTCCCGCTTTTCGAGAAAGCGCAATTCGCACCGCAATTGTGCGGGAAAGGTCAAGGAAGCTTTCCAAAGGATCCGGGGCAGCACGCAGCAGCGCAAGCAGAGGGACGGGCAACATAAAACTAAAAATAAGCGACAAAAAAGAATACCTAGCGAAGTAGGCACACCTAACATGGGTTTTAGGAACTCCCCGTTTCGCCATCAGGTGGATCCAGTCTCTGCAGCATGCAGCCTACTGTTCGCCATTGCTTTTGCTCGCTCGCCTCGCCTAACGCCGGCTCACAAAGCCGAGCCAGTCGTTGCCATGCAAGTCATCACTCGACTTGCAGTTTGCCTTGGCCAAGCAAGCTATGGATGGATGTATTCAAAAAGCAGGGCAGTTGGCAGCGGAAAGCCTGGCTTGTCCACGTATGCAGTAAATGTGTGTGGTCCCAGTGAACTCCCAAGCAAGACCACACAGGGACGCTACACAACGACGTACATTCATGAATCACCACGAAATCTTTCTGGCACGATGTGACTTGGTATTGGCCCTCTAGGTCTATAGGGACCATGCCTACCCAACCACATTTGCCAAGCTGTCTCGTTTATCGAGGCACGTTGTTTTTTTTTTTTTTACTGATTCAGCTTTCCTGCCCCAGAACCCAGATGCCACAAACGCTACCTACCCGTGCTCCAGTACCGGAATGATCAAACACTCACAGAAACGCCCAGACGCGATGTGCCAACAATGCCGTCCATACCCTTCGCGCCAAATGCAACACACACTATGCAACCTTGAAAATCCTCCCGGTTCTCCCATCGAGAACCCCATCATTCCCGCTTCTCGCCAACGGGAACAAACTGCAGCAAACACTTTTGTCCTAGGGGTCGCGAGGAGATGAGCTGGTCCGACATGGCCATCGACTCTTCCGCCATTGACGTCTCAGGAAGCGTCGTGTAACCGGTGTAAATATCCGTCAACAGAGTCTTCATCTCGGCGAGCGCCAGACTTGGTGGTGCTTTGTTAGCAGATGGGATCTCATTGTGGATGGATTATGGGGGTTACTCACTGCTTGCCAACACATCCCCGGCCTCCGTTAGCAAACGCAAACATGAGCCGCTTCCTCTCAGCGTCACCCGTTGGCTCCATCCACCGATCAGGGTTGAACGAGTCTGGCTCCGGGAACACTTCCTCGTTGATGCGGTGAATGGAATACGCCTGGCAGCTGACTGTAGTCTTCCCCGGGATGGCATACCCGTCAATCACCCGCCCGCCCTGGGGCACATAACGCGGCAGGGACATCGGGATAGCTGGGAAGCACCGCAACCCTTCCTGCACAATGGCATCGAGGAACGGCAACTTGTCGAACGCGACCCCCGGGTTCTCCCTCAGCTCGCGTCGCAGCGTCTCCTGAAAACGCAGCGACCGCGGCTGCGAGAGCTCCCACATGAGAAAGCACAGCCCGTCGCCCGTCGTGTCGATGCCTGCCGCCATGTGGTCGAGGCACTCGCCCGCCACGTCGAGCTGGTCCAGTCCCTGGCCCGCCTTGTCGTGGAGCCGGCTCAGGAGCGTGAAGGCCGCCGGGTCGGGCTTTTTGCTGGACTCGATGACAAAGGTGTCGGCGAGGGGCGTCTCGCGGGGCTTGGCGAAGAAGTACAGGAATCGAGAGAGGAGCTTGTGCAGCGCGGGACTATAGTGCTGAACAAGGCGGTCTGTGTTATCGTCAGTCTACCTTAGGTACATTCAGCAGGCATGTTGGGCTGTGTACTCACTTTGCAGGCTGTCGTCAGCAGCAACCTGGTGCATCATTTCCTCGTCCGCCTTGTCCTCGAGGCAATTACTGCCGTACGGATGGAACAGGTGATGTGTGACGCAATCACAGGCGTATGAGTGAAGACTCATCTGCAAACGCAGTCAGGCAACCGTCCAGAGAGTTGAAACGGGATCTACGTACGAATATGTCGTGGCTCTTGCCAACGGACTTCTCGCACAACTTGATAAACTTTTGTGACCTCTCCTGAATTCCGCCTAGAGGTACAGGTCGCAGGACGTTACTGTTTGCGTAGCGGTCCGCAATTATTCTCTTGCGCTTCGCATGCTGGAACAAATGTTGTAAGTTGCTATTCTACCCCAGACTGGAGTTTCATCCGGGGGGGCTTTACATCTTCCTTGTTCAACGTTGTGAACATAGTCCTAGTACTGTAAGCTTTCTGCTTTACCCAACCAACATAAGTTTGCCTTCCATACCTTCGTCCATAGACTTTAAACAAGTCATAAAACTCCGTCTTGTCATAACCGCTGCCTCCAGAGCAGTAAATCTCTTTGACGGCTTCGTACGATGTGAATGAGACCTCGTCTGGTGCGACTCGGACAACCGGTCCATATTGCTGGTGGAGCGCATGGATGTACTTCGTCCTGGTTGCTTGTAGTTCATGCCATTTCAGAATGAGGGAAGTGAAGGCGGATATCCTCGGGCCGGGAACTTTCCACAACGGGGACAGGACGCAGCGAATGACATACGTCAAAGCTAGGACAGAGAATGCTGCTCCCAAAAAGACGGGAGAAAGGAGTAACATGTCGCAGGCCTTTCACTATTACACCATGATACGTACGTAGTTGTTCTGAAAAGTGACAAAATGAGTCAAGGGTTCGGGGCGTAAGGTAGGTCTCTCGAATCATGGGCGACGCCGGTTCCTCTTATCAGCTCCGTTCCGGGCCCCGATAGCGTTGGTCAATCAGAGGGTTTCGATTCGTAAATGACCAGTCAAGCGCCGGCACCGATAGGGTGCTTTAGCCCGAGAACGGGGCGGTCTGGCAAGCACAACCCACTGAGGGACCCCAAATGAGACGTGAGGGGCAGGGCGTCAACACTGATTACCCCTCCATAACTCGACAGCCTGTGATGAAAGGCTCGATATGGATGCGTCGGGAAAGACTTCATAAGGTATTCTCGTGAAGCAGGAATTCGGTACGGTATCAGATGTTTGATTTTCAACTCATTTTTTTCTACGCCATCACCGCCGCCGTCCAACATCACCTCGTAAGACGCACAACGCCTCGCCAATCGCCACCTCGTACTAATACACCCGGTTTAAAACTCGCCCACCAAGCAAACCTCGATGCAAGACTCAAAAAAGTGCAGGTAAACTCCCCTCCTCCATCTCTCACAGCTCTCCCTTAGTGCCCTGCTTCGACTTGTCATTCAAATTGCCCCCAAACAAGCCGGTCAACCAAGACATACCGGGAATCGACACAGTGCCTGCCGGGGGATACTCCTTCCCGTTGACGGTGACCTTGGGCGTGCAGGTGCACCACTGTTCCTCGGGGACGCTGCTCAGCGCCGACGGGATGTGTTGGCCGCAGCCGCGCCAGGTTGCCTTTGCTATTGAATACTTTTAGTTTTCATGAAACTACACGGAATGTTACGAGACTGGGGTTGTCGTCTTACAGCAAGTCGAGCAGGTGACTCCGAAGCACATTGTGGATGAAAGTAAAGGTGTTGGTGAAAGGGAGATGTCGGTGCGGGTATCAAGTTCAAAGGGTCGACAGTATGTTGTGTACGAGTTGATCCGAACGAAGCTGGAAGTCAAGATGGTGTTTTGAGATAGTCTTTTTGAACGTTGACCAATGTGATAAGGGCTGGTCTAGCTACGAGCTCACCTGGGATTAAGTATTCGCGGTGTCCGTGATAGCATAATCCACCCACTTGGGGTCGGCGACCTGCATTGAGCATCGTCACGGGCGCAGTGACCCCGATGAAGTGGGTCTCGGAGGGGTATCGCCGACCTCGCTCCCTATTCCGGGGAAGTGGGGTGCTGTCAATGGAACTCGGGCTTGCTCACATAAGGCACTTTGGAAGCTTCCGACCGAGCTGAGATCGGTATTTCTTTAGTCATCTCGTGTAACACGTTCGAACCAATCTCGGGAATGTTGCTCGTTAAATGTATTTGGCCATGAGTGAAGACAAATATCCCCTCTCAACTAAGGTAAGTTATGCTGAGGCTCATGCGGTCCGTCCCGAGTCTGACTTCATACTTGCTGGATGAACTGAGCCACACGTTCTGCAAGCCACTGCTGGGATTCCGGGTTCTTCACAGTGTGGCTTGCTCCGGGAATCAAGCCAGACAGCTCGTGGACATTGGAGTTTGTCTTCTTCCACAGGTCGATCAAAGCTTGCTTATCGATTTTGGCTGGCACGAACTCATCCTCTGCAGAGTGTAGCACCATGACGGGCTGCTGGAAACGATTCCAGACCTCGGAGACGAACGACTCTTTGAGGTCGGAGGAGAAGTAATCATCGTTGCCCCTGTGATGAGTATCAGTATTTCATTCACCTCACCCCGGAGATGGAGTATCATAGCTACTTACCCCTTAGCCGCCAGAGAGTGCCAACGGTAGGCCGTCATAGGTGTCGAGAAAAAGCTTGGTACTAGATCTTTGGGCATCGCTTCGGCCTCCTTTCCAGCGGAAATCAGCCCCTCGGCGTGCTCTAGGCTCTTCTTCAACCAGTCAGGTTTGACAAAGTCTTCAATAGACTCCCGGTCAGATGCAGGACCTTGCATGATGAAGCCATCGACAGGGTCCTCCTTGTGCTTGGTATACTCCATACAGTCCTACCAAGGTTAGTTGGGTCCTGTAAATGTTCGAGGCTACTACAACGGTATACCTGGCATCCAGTTGAGTGGCCCATAAGGACAATCTTTTTCTTTCCGATACCTCGGAGATACCTCACCAGCGCCGAGATATCCTCAACATCGTTCTTCAAGCTCGAAAAGCCGTAGCCGGAAAAGGAGCTCCTCATCCGAATCTCAAATACAGACCAGTCTTGTGCCGCTGTCTCAAGATGCTTGGCTATGGCCTTGGTGTAGCCAACAGTATGAGGTCCATCTGCGAGGCCTCCTATGAAGAGAAGGGCGTTTGATGCTCCAGATGGGCCGATCTCATAAGCGCTAGAGTGAGAGGTTCGGGAATCGAAAGGATGCACCGTGCAAGAGAAAGGAGCCGGGGCCATGGCGAGTTACTGAGGCCCTTTCGGACAAAGACAGGCTGTTCGTCAAGATTCGGTCGTAGTTTCAGCGGAAGGCTCCTTTCGTGACTGCTGATCAGAAATTCAGAGAGTCTTGCGATGTAGTTGCTTCCTCACATGAATTATTGAAATTGACGTAACCTAGTGGAGGGGGAAGCGCTCTGGTGGGGGCTGCTCTGATGTGCTGTTGCGGGGCTGCCAGCTTCCCTTTTAGCGAGCCAAAACCACCAAAGGCCCTGAACAATCGGCTGTCAGTGGGGCTCATCACCGAGGGACGTCGAAAGGAAGCCACCCGATTGGGCCTACTTTAGGGAGGTATGTACTTCGTACCGTCAATCTTTCTCAGGATAGGTAGTCATCTCAGGCAGGCGTTTCCTCCGTCAAAGTTGGGTTGCGAAGTGAACGACAGAGCCTCCACATTCAACTACCAGTAAACACGCGAATCCTCACCACTCTCTCTTCAATATCACGCCAGTCATATTCTCGAAAACCGCGACGATAGGCTTTTCTAGATCAGATACGTCTCCGCCGTTAAGTTACGCGCCGCTGGAGGCTGGCGTGGAATACCTGCCCTCTGCCTCGTAATGGCGACCACTCCCGCCAATGCAAACCCAGCCCGGAATGAGTTCTTTCAGCAGGTTCGTATACCTTGGGACGTATAGATCATATGCTGACCAATTCAATCAGCTCAAACCATGCTGTGTCTCAATTAGTCAGCTAGCAATCCGACAACAAGGAGATTCGTCCTCCTTCAAACGACTATCCGAGTTGACTGATGAGTTGTACCACATTCTCAACGACCAAGTCAATAGAGATGCCAACGTTCTGGATTCAAAGCTTGCCGACTACGTCTTTTTCCCGCTCTCTCATGTCTTCCGCAGTCACGATCAATACCCCAAACGCCTAATCGAGCTCGCCATCAAGTGCCTTACCGTTATCATTATTCACGGCTGGAAGTCCAACATCTCGCCCCAGATCTTGCAGCAGCTCCTGATACTTCTCACTTTCATCGTTGGAGGAGTACCTGGCCGCGAGAGAGAGCACAATGTGCCCGAGGAAACCGAGCTTGAATCGCTTAGAGCATTAACTGCCTTGCTTACTGTGGCTGGAACGTCCAGCACAGCAGCAACAGCTCTGACCGAGGAGAGATTGGTGCCAACTCTGGGCCATACCATCACGGTAATTCTGGGATGCGTAGCGGATGGAAGAACGTCAGCTATTCAGCTCGAAGCTCTGCGTATCCTGAACTGCTTCTACACGAGCATCAAGGACCATGCCGCACTTGCGTCATTCATTCCGGGCATCGTCTCTAGCCTGACAAAACTTCTTTCCAAACCCCAGGGAGAGAAGACGCGCGTCTTGGTCGGTTCCATACAGTCGTTGGGACTGGTGCTAGTAAAAGTTCTTGGCGATGTCAGGACCCGGAGCATCATCGCAAGATTGAACTCAGATACTCCACCGGAGGCCGAACAAGGGGGTGTACTGAGCCTATCATGGCTCAACGCGACAAAATCACAGATCAAGCTGGCTTTGGCAACAGTCTTGAAACTCCGAATAAGCGATAATACAGACGTACGCGAGGCGCTGCTGGCATTCTGTCTTGGACTTCTCGACGAATGTCACACCTCCCTGGAAAATTGCTCTTCCGTACTGGTGGAGACAGCCATGGTCATCTCACCAACACATCCAACGACGTCTTTGACCGGTACAAGTCTGCAGAATTTGGCCATCATATATCCTGAACTTGGCGAGACCGTGAAGGTCACATGTTACAATTGGATCACCAGCTTGCCCAGGATCATGCAGTCTGCCGACGAAAGCAAGAAACAGGCCGCCGTCCAGAATTTGATGAAGGGTATGGCTCTTGTCAGTAGCCTTCAGTTGGATTCTTCACTATTGGACGAGTCAATAGCGGCGGCTCTAAGGGACAGTGTCACATCTCTCATAACCGGAGCGAAGCCTAGCAAGATCCTGGATGAAACAACGCCGGACGCTTCATGGTACAACCAAGATATTGTGAGAATAGGAGACACTCCAAAACAATATTCAAATGTGCTGTTGGGCAAGGAGAGTCAGACTGGAACAAGGTCAGCTATGATTGACTTGCTTTCCAACGTCGGGCCAGCCTCGCAGCAGACCAGGCTTGCTGCCGAAATGCTGGATCACGCCAGGGACTCGTCAGGCGATTCTCAGATAGCCTCTTTCTGGCTGAGCTTTGAACTCCTCAAGACCGCCTTTTCTCGTTCCAACGAGCTCGACGATCTCCTGGACTTCTCTTCACTGGGTTCTGGGGGCGAGTGTTCCGAATCCACCTTTCAGGAATTGTATGCATTCGCCGTCGTTTTGCTCGACTCACACTCTGAACTGGCTGAGATCGACTGGAGGCTAGAGGCCACAGCACTTGAAGTAACCGCCTTCGCAGCATCTCGATCAGGCGAAGCCTTCAGACCAGAACTCATTGACGTGCTATATCCTACAACAGCCTTCCTTGGCTCTGCGAGCTCACAACTAAGAGAGCATGCAATCACGACCTTGAACGTTCTTGCTGTATCGTGTGGGTACACGAGCGTCTCCGAATTAATCATCGAGAACGTCGACTATATGATCAACTCTGTTTCGCTGCGGCTCAACACGTTCGATATATCGCCGGCGTCCACGAAGGTGTTGGTGATGATCACTCGCCTAACCGGGTCGCGACTGCTGCCGTACCTCGACGACGTTGTGGCCTCCATTTTCGCAGCCTTAGACAACTACCATGGGTACCCGGTATTTGTTGAAAGTCTGTTTGCAGTGCTCAAGGAGGTTGTAGAACAAGGCGTGAAGTCTGACAGACTTCTTCTGGAGGGCCGACAAAATGGACCAGAGAGTCACAAGAAGGCTGCCGGCAGTCATGTCACAATTGACGACATTGTCAATTTATTGAAGAGACGACGGGAAAGAGAGACTGAAGCCTTGATCGACGATGTGACCGACGAAACTAACAACAATCATCCTCAAAAGCCTTGGGGTACGCAGGACCAAAAACCCAAAGACGGCGGGGAAGAAGGAATTGACGAGGACGCTGCAAACAACCAAGTCGAAAAGGAGAAACCACCCAAGACACCAACGTATACCCTACTGGAGAAGATCGCCGGCTTGACACAGCACTATCTTACTTCACCCAGCCCTACGCTGCGAAAGTCGTTGCTCGACCTACTGGCCACCGTATCTCCAGCTCTTTCAGGCGACGAAGACTCTTTTTTGCCGCTGATCAATGCTGTATGGCCGGTGGTGATCACCCGACTCTACGACGAGGAGGCGTTTGTGACCATTTCAGCCTGCGATGCCCTCTGTGCGCTCTCCGCCACCGCCGGAGACTTTCTAGCCTCCAGAATCAAGACAGAGTGGTGGGACGGGCTGGGAAAGTGGTGTCGAAAGAAAAAGCTAGAGGCTATCCAGTCTCGAGGTAAGGGCAGTACGCATCGAAAGAGTACCAGGCCAGGCCAGGCCGCCGGGACTACGAGTCAGGGAATCGTCATTCCCGTCATGACAGGAAGCGATCGGCTAAGCTATCAATCTGCAGAGATAACGAAAGGCTCGGTATCAGGCGGCTTGGGCAAATTCGCTCAATCTGCACAGATCTGGGATTCCGTGATTCGCATGTTGACAGCTATCGCTTCACATGTCCGCCTTGACGCCGAGATATTCGACGAAGTGCTGGATCTGTTGAGCGAAGCACTTAGCCAGAACGTTGAAGCACGTCGCGCCTTGGAAGCTGTCAATGGTGATGCAGTCTGGCTAGCCATGTACCAGCAGGGACAGGTCAAGGCCCCAAGTCTACCCAGACTAAACGGCGTGACTTTTGCATCCTTGACGACGCTGAGCTGAAGCTCGCCTCGCATGCATCTCAGCCCTCACGACGGGTAGCCACGGATACGCAGAAAGCTCTAGCCTCCAAGTTGTGAATCGTTCGATGGGAGCTGCAAGATCACATGGTGGCAACTATTATTCAACCACCACCAATAGGAACACAACCGCAGGCTTGATGGAAGCTAGAAGTGCGCTAGAATCATGTTGGTCTACAGAAAGTCCAGATTGGCCCCGGGATGGCTTCCACTGCATGACAACGATCACAGGTCGGGGCTGGAGCTGAAGATGTGACAGCTCTGAGCTGCATGGCACCACGGGAAGCATGTTCGGGCGACCTTGGCGACCTTGGCGCCTCAGGACCAGGACGCCCGATAGCTGCACAGAGAACGCGTAGTACATAGATTGCCGTCTGACGCGGGGTTGCGCACCATTCCCATCTTCTCGGCGAGTCCGGCCACTACGACAACAGGGGGCAGAGCTGATAACACTCTGAATGGATCCGTGATCCGACATGATAGGAAGTTGAGACGGATGAGCGAGATACGAGCGCTTTGCTCGATGATTACAGCGCTCAGGTGCCGCCAACCGTGATTGACGAGCGAAACAACACACCTTCACAATAACTACATACCTAGACACTTTCGCACCAAAGGTGCCAAATTTGCGCAAAGATCAAGTGTTCCATAGCCCTTGTTTCAATTCGGGACGAAGGGGGGCCACGCGAACATGACTTCCGGGGGGATGCCTGGAGGTGTCTGCAGAGAGCGAAATGAGGGCGTCTACCCCAGATCCCCACGACACTCGATTTACACTACGCAATAAGGGCAGAGTACTCCGTAACCGAGAGGCAATTGACGGTTCGGTGACAAAATGACACATTCCTCTTCAGGAAGAAGGCATCATCCTTCGCGGGAACGGTCCTACCAGATGCAGTATCGGTCACCTGCACCAAGGCTAGAAACCGCACGCTTCACCGGATCGTCTGGACGCGATTTCGAGCAAAAGTGCTGCAGCAGAATGGGGGCGGGGCGATGGAGAGGAAGTGCGGGTGGTCAAGAAACTAAGACTAATTAATTACCAAGACTCCAAGAGATGCCCTCAAATGCTTAGCCTCAAGCCGGCCAATGATATCTCCA